ATAGAGTGGTCAAAACGAAATCCATGGAGATTTCAAAAAATAAAAATATAATTGAATCGCCCTTGAGTTAAAATTGAATTTCTCATTAGTCAGTATAAATTTGAGTGAAAAGTTAAAATTATTGTTAGCCCGTTTCTAATTAAATATAAAGCTTAGGCAAGATTTGACTAAAACTCATTCCTTCCTTACCAATATCTTAGTGGGCCAAATATTTATTAAGATCCATAAATAATCCGGTGATTGTGATAAATAAAAGGGTTATTTAGAAGTTGAGACAATTTTTTATACTTAATTGAGCAAAAATATAACATAAAACTTTATTTGGGCTAAAATGCATATTTTTAAAAATGACAATATTGTCGTTCAGATAAATAACTTAGGTGTTGAAACTCTTTGTATTCCTTCCATATATTTTGATTTACAATTAAATAATTGAAGGTAAAATAGGGACATATTTTCTCTAACAGTTTCTCTTTCTCCTTATTTTTTCTTACTTTATTTATATTAACATTACAACAACACAATTATGCTAATCAGTTATATCAATCAGTTATAATTGTCTTATAATACACCAAACAACTATTCACGCGTTCTAATAAATCAAGCAGTTACCAAAAATTATGATATCAACCTAATTTGTCATTTAGTTGTTAATATAAAATAAATAGTTGCACCATTTAGTATCGTAGCGTCGTTACACCATCATGTTTTAACAATTGTACGAGACTGTGATTGTTACATCCATTAATAAAACAGTTACAACCATTAAAAAACAGTTACATCTATTAAAAAAAATAGTTACACCCATTAAAAAAAAAAACAAAGAATTTTTTTGCATATCCCAACAATGAACAATACATAATATTTAACAAAACATCTTGACCAATTCTCTTTTTTTTTTTTAGGGGGGGGAGGGGGGAAATTTAGTGTTTATTCACATTTAATTTGTGGCATTCTAATCAAATCTCATTGCCATAGAATCTTGTTGCTGAAGAAAAAAAGTTTTGATCATTAATGTCCCTATTTTACCTCTCATTACTATTTTTAATCTTTATACATTTGTTTCTTTAAATAACTGTTAATGATAACTGCATAATTTAAGGAATGATGTTTAGGTAAAAAAAATTTTAATTCATTTGAATTTTGTACTTAAACATAAAAAGTATTATAAAAATTATACTTAATAGAGTAAACAATTTATCCATACACTTTTACTAAAATAAGTTTAAAAAATTGTACTCACGCTGCAAAAATTCTAAATTAAATCAACAAATTATGTCAAAAGTAGTATTATTGTAAGAATAAGATACATGTTTACTTGACCCAAAACCAATGTATCCCCCACATTTTACGACAAGATCCACCCTATCCAGATCATTACACCATCAAATGCACCTATGAATGCCTGTACAAAAAACAGCCTCTCGAATCATTCCTTCTCCATTCGAAAGGGCTGCGACATTCCACCATTACTGAATAAACAATCGATTTTTTCTTTAATGCTGAATCGATTCATAATTCTTCTATTGTTCCTATAAATAAATACAGATACAGATTTGGATCATCATTAATCATTTGATATCTTTAAATGCTGTCCATGGCAATGGTTTTTCAACATAAAATAAAGACTCGGACAACAATGGAAGAAGGGCAAATGGATAAATGAACTTAATTCGCGCACACAGATCTGCATGGCAAAGTTGAATTCTAATCATCAGACTAGCATATAGAACACTGCCAAGCACTTATGGGAGAAGCAAAGTTGATTATCGACCAAACTATCCAGGTAACAGTAAGTTAATATGTCACCAAGAAACACCACATGAAAAACTCAAAAAAAAAAAAAAAACAAATTTTGGGAATATAACAAATGACAAAAAAACCACTTGTAAAAATTCTAAGATGCGTGGCCCTCCTCTGCAGCAGCTTCAAAAGTCTCACCCGGCACAAGTGCTGGGACATCATCGTCATCGTCTTCTGGCGCCATGGTTGCACCACCACCAGGTTGCTGCTTCTGTAACTGCTCTGCCAGCTTCCTCAAGTTGTCCAAGTTATCTGACCCTGAAAAAAATAATGAAACAAACATCAAAGTTATCCTATATATGTTTCGGACTCCACATTAACCACAGTGATACGCTACATACCTAATTGATTAATAATTCCAGGAAGGATATCTTGCAATTCTGCAGCAGAGGAAAATTAATTGTTAGATGAAGCCCAGCTCAAGGATCAGGTATAATAATTGTCCTCCCCACTTTACCAGCATCAGGTACTAGAGTGGAGATACCGACTCAACAACTTGAAGTCAGTACTTGACCCAAACCCCTTATTGGCAAGTTATCTAAGAGAATTTGTAATGAAGTAAAATACGACAAAACCCACTAATACTGTTCACTGTCAAGAATAGATAGATGATGCTGGAAGGAAGATGTTACAGCCAGAGGTCATATGACCAATGGAAAAAAAAAATACATTTATAGAAATACTTAAAACATAGGTTTAGGTGAATGTATACTCTTTGTCTGAGGAGAACCACTAACAACCCAAGTGTTGGCAGCAATAGAGGCTTGAACTGAAATGACAAAAGAAAATAAGTAGTTATTTGTTGACACATAACAAACTAACATAGAAAGTACAGGATTTACTTCCACCATTGGTACCTTTGGGGTTTATGAATTGGATAACCACGTCGTCCTTAAAAATATTGACTTCTTCTATTGCAGGTATGGCATTCACCCCTATTCTCTTCAGGGTGCTTTGAAGCCTTTTGTCATCCGTAGTCGTGGTCTTGTGAATAGCCTTCTTCTTTCTGTGGTGAGTATATTACAATTAAGCCACAGTGGGAATAGAAGGAAGCTCAAAAACAGGAGATGAGAGATGCCAGAAACAAATATTTGTATCTCCCTCCAAGAAAAGGGGATACATTTGCCACTGCAGACCTTTAGTGATCAAGAAAATCAGCATAGATGAGAGAAACACTAATTTCTACAATCACAATAAATATCACATATAACAAACAGTACTATAGTAGGTATCATGATATGCAAAACATCAAAGTACTTTATTTACAAAGAACTATCTACTCCGTTCTAGGATGTATGGCCCAAGCGTAACATATATACCTCAGATCAACCCTTAAAGAGTGATCTCTTAATCTAGAAGTCATACCACAAAGCCATTGACATGCGGAGAAAAGGGGAACACATGATTATAATTGTATAACCAGTTCTTGCATTTTAAATAATTCGACTACTCTCCCAAATTTTCACTGCCATGATAGTGGAATCTATTTTATTGTCTTATCAAGCTAACTTAATCAGAATATGTACTGATCACCAATTTTTCCTTATAACTCATTGCAAGAAAGGTATCAAATTGCCCAGAAACACACCTTCTCATGCTACCCTTTCCGCCTGTACGAACTGCACCAGCCATCTTCTTTAGCTTATTCACATCCATCTGAAATAAATAAATGTGGGAAACACATAAGAAATGGTAAGCACATTCAGTCAGCAAATCAAAAGGACGAATGTAAGACCCTACAATTTTCCAAGGCCACCTATTTAACATACACCAAATTCACACATCACCAGAGAATTATAAAAATGAATCAGGCTTGGACCAGAATCAATACAAATCTAAGGAAACACTTTGTACAACTGTAAAATAACAATGAAATGGTATTATAAGCTAGTTTATGCATGTTTACTTGACAAACAGGGTTAAAAAAATGATCTTCAACTGAATCAAGTAGTACAGTCCTAAAAAATAGAAATTAATTAGCCACACGAGGGGAAAAACATTTCACCCATGTGCCATCAAACTACTTCTGAAATCACAATGAAATGGCAGAGCAACAAAAAGCAATAATAATTTACCAACAAAAAACCAATAACAAACTTCCATGATTCAAGATTCTATCTGCTGAATGCAATCAAATATATCTTTGCCATCTATACATAATCCTTGAATCCCTCAAACATTTACATTGTGCCTGTTTGTGCGCCTACAATGAAATCACTTCATTATCCTGTCTCTAGAATTAAGCTTGGGTCACATATGATTCATTTTTTACTTGGTTGTGGGTGATTACAATATTCACATGAACAATGGCTAAATTCCCAGCATGTGACTCTAGGCTCGATATCAGAAATAGGGAAGTAATATGGTTTCACTACATTGGTCACAATTGTAACAAGATCTTTTATGTGACTCTTTCAGCTCCAGTGACTTAGACACGGTTGCTTACATCCGACTCATTTGGATATCCAAGAGTGACTTCAGCAGACTAAGTTATTAAGACTACAAATTGTTATGATTAAGATTAAAAACTCAGGAAGTGTTTTATGCAAGATATTTGCAAAACAAAGTGAAAGGATAATTCTCAGTAAAAAATTAAACAGCCTACTTGAAATATAACTAATAAATTGAAGCAAGACATCTGAAACGACTAAAACAGCTCAAAAAAAAAAAAATTCAATCGTAGCATCCCAGTATAAAAACAAGGCAAAAATGCATGGTACCAAATACCCAGTAAGTAGGTAACAGTATAACTAACTTGAAGAAAACATATAATTAACCCACAAACACCCCACACAGAAACACATGCAACATTTTTTAAAAAGCCCTACTTGAAATAGTTCAAACCCACGAACTTAAACATCAGATCCGATCTACAAGCGAGGCTAAATAGAAGCTTTACATATGTACAGCAACATCTATACAAGTATGCATATATCCAGGAAAACCAGAATTCTCAAACATGTAGGTCAAGTGAAGTGATCACTTTTTCACACCATCAAAATCAATCATCAGAAGGTTAACGCATAAGCACATGTGTATACAAATGACGCGAGAGAGAGTGAGAGAGAGAGATGGAGAAATGTGTAGTGTCTCACCTCCGCGAGCTCTGGAGTAGAAGAGATGGTGAGAAATGAGGGGCAGAGGCCAAGGGAAATGGAGAGGGAGAGTTGGGGACAAATGAAACCCTACAATCAATCTCTTCACTACGAACACAATACGGCAGGGGTTGCAAAGGGTAAATTTGGTAGAAAAATATGATTATATATGGGGTTATTTTAGTACGGATTAATTGCATTAGAGGTCCTTAAAATATGAAATTTGTCTCATTTTAGTCTCTAGTATCTCAATTGCATCATTTTAGTCCATAAAATATTGAATATATTTCTATAAGGTCCATCAAGCAGATAACGTCTAGATTGCTAACGATTTTTTATTATAAACTTGTTATGTGATACTTAAATATGGACAAACAAATATTTTGAATAATTTTTGACCAAATTTTTACTCAAATTTTGGTTAAATAGCTACCCAAATTACACAGTTTTGATAATGATCTATCCAAATTTTGATCAAAAGCTACCCATATTACATATTTTTTGTCAAGAACTACCCAAATTTTGTTTCAAAGCTATCAAAATTATTTTTTTGTTCATATTTAGATATTACATGACAAGTTTATGATAAGAAATCATTAGTAATCTAAAAGACCATATAAAAATATATTCAATACTTCAGGGATCAAAATGATACAATTAAAATATTATGGACTAAAATGAGACAAACACCCTACTTTGTAGATCTCTAGTGTAATTAACCCTTTTAGTACCGTAAAAATAGAAAGGAAAAATTTCACCGACACCCCAAATAATAAGGTCTAAATTAGTTGACACTTTTTCTCTATTTTGAAACTTCAGTCCTTCCCTTTGTGGTTTATACTGTTGAATCACGGACAACCTCTAAGAGTAATTTTCATCTATGACAGTAGCTAAAATATACGATTTAACTATTTATTCTTTAAAATGCCAAAATTACCATCAGTTACGCTAATAGATTAAAATACATTGGGTTAATACTTTATAAAGTTTAGTTTTTTATTTTTTGAAAAAATTATATTTAAATCCCTGAAATTTATCACTTAATCATTTAGACTCATAATATTTTAAATATTATATATAGACCCTCTAAGATTGGTACGTGTAACGCCCCAAAAACCCCCTTGGGTGACATTACATTCTAAAAAACCATTCACACCATGAGAGCATTACGTAAATTCATCACAACGAAAGTTCATTCATCAACCATTCATATTTTAACAAAATTTGGGCAGAGTCTCTTTTGTACGGAGAGCTTTACCCAAAACACAACCTGTACAATTATATTACAATTGACCACACCGGGTCCACATATGCATAACTATTGACCACACCGGGTCTATTTATCCATCATAAAATAAACCTTCATTCATCATATGTCATATCCACAATGTCATCCCAAAAGAATAGGCCAAGTATGACAAATATATTCCCAAAAGAATGAAATTACACTTGCAGTGAAATAACAAAATACTAGACTTTACATGATTTCAAAATAAACTCTCTAGTCTAGTACAAAAGAAATATAACTCTAGGCATCCAGTTCAGGATCCCCGTTCCCCTCTAGGGGAGCTTCCCCATGCACTGGTTCATCTACTTGTAACTCCTCCTCATAGACGAAATCTGAAAAGATATTATCTGTAGGGGATGAGCACTAAGCTCTGTAGCAACATTCCTTCCATACTCATACAAGGTTTAGAAAACAAGTACAACAGTTCGGTCTTATTTTCCAAAATATCATATAACATTTGAAGTAAAACCGTGACATTTGAAACAGATCTCAAATTTAAACATTCGCAATAATTTAAATGGACAGTAAACCCAAGTCACAATGAGCAACCATAACCATTTCCAACAAGTTCTTGTAGAGTCTCATACCTCCACAAGCTCTTGTGGGAAATGCAATAGTAACACCATACTACAAAAAGGAACGGTTATTCCACCATCGATTATTATATTTCCTTTGGCAGGTGGCATACTTAAAAGTAAACTCCACCCCTTTCAAGTCTTTGTTTCTCATAACCGCATACTTACAAGTAACCACGGTCGTTAGATGTCCTTTTTGGTAGGTAGCATACTTACAAGTAACCTCCACCCCCCTCAAGTATCCAACACATAGCCGCATACTTAGAAGTAACCTTGGTCCATAAATATCCTCTTTTGGTAGGTAGCATACTTACAAGTAACCTCTACCCCCTTGAAGTCTCCCACACATAACCGCATACTTACAAGTAACCTCGGTTCATAAATATCCTCTTTTGGTAGGTAGCATACTTACAAGTAACCTCTACCCCCTTCAAGTATTCCACACTTAACCGCATACTTACGAGTAACCTCGGTTCATAATTATCCTCTTTTGGTAGGTAGCATACTTACAAGTAACCTCTACCCCCTTCAAGTATTCCACACTTAACCGCATACTTACCGAGTAACCTCGGTTCATAATTATCCTCTTTTGGTAGGTAGCATACTTACAAGTAACCTCTACCCCCTTCAAGTATTCCACACTTAACCGCATACTTACGAGTAACCTCGGTTCATAATTATCCTCTTTTCATACCAACAATCACATACAAGATTAAATCCACACATTGCCCTCAACAAGCAACCATTATCAAAATCCCCAAATTTTATCATGCGACAATCCAAATAACCAATTAAGAAAAATACAAGAGATCACCACCACATCATTTTCATTACTCACACAAAACACTAAAGTTCTCAAAACCAAGCTTGAGCAAATGTAGAAAGAGAATTCCATATTTCCCCAAAAACTAGGGTTTTAAAGCTATAAAAGAAGTTTCATGGGTAATCAATCCTAACTTTGTTTAAAACATGCCATAATTGCAAGAAAACCAAGAAACAAGGAATTCCTAGCAAATACATACAAGTATGAGTCAAAACATATATATATTTTAGCCTTAGCCTCAATGGACAAGCATGGAAGAAAAAACTCCTACCTTGAATCAAAGTTTCAAACCAAAAACCCAAGCTCTAGTGACCTCCTTTCTCCATTTCCTCCTTTCCTCTATCTTCCCCAAGGGTGCTAAGGGGTTTGGGGGTGAGAGATGTGAGAAAAAATGGAAGGAAATGGGCTGGATTCTGTGTTTTAAACACAGCAGTCCGCGCAATTCACTGTTCATGGCTAATTTTGAGTTTTTTTTCCAAAATTACAGTTTTGCCACTAGAAATCTCTAATTTGATCCATACGACTACCCTAAGGTTTTTCGACGTTCCGGATTCATTTTTAATGTTATTTTAACCTAAAAACATTGCTTTTTATGATTTATTTCAAAACTAAAATAAATTCACACTTGGAACATTAAAATTTCTATTTTATTCCTTCGAACTACTATAGGTGATATCCTTACGATTTTAATATATATATATGGTTTATTCTTAAGTCATTACATATAGAAGAATCACTAAACAAGTGCATTAATATATTAATGTAATCATATGGGGTTTTACACCGTCAAGGTCTAATAAGAAAGCACAACCCTTTACTATCCAAGGAGCACCATTGTGCAGATTTTTGGTCAACTTCATAGAATAAACTGATTTGACTCAGGTATTTCTAGGAGGTGTAACCTATATGGTTGGAAAGATATACGAGTTAGGGTTCTAACAAAAATAACGGTACACAATTCGAACTTTCCAATAAAGAGTTATGATGAAATTAGCGAAAGGTAGTCTGCCGGACAGATTTTTTGGACAGTGTAGACACTACTTCGTAATATGGACATAACTCTTTCCTCCTAGTTCCAATTGAGATGATTCAAGGTGATATGAAATCCTAAGAGAGAGCTCTACAAATTTCATGTTTTAAGTTTTGAGAGATATGGACTGCATCAAGGTCGAAATCGAGCTTGATGTTACAGCCAGTGCACTGTTCATCCCTTTTTCATTCTACCAAATTCAAACACACATCACTACACATATCCCCATTTTTACAACAATTATTTACTATATATCTATATACATATATAAAAGAAAATGCGGGGTGTTACAGTACGTGCGTAAGATTTAAACCTCCTGCCATTAATATCCGTTAGTATATCCATTAGTAAATTATATTTAAACCCTCTGAAGTTTGTAGACATGTAATACTTAGATCATTCAAGTTTAAAATATTATACTTAGACAAAAAATACTTCAATTAAAAATAGAATATCAAAAAATTGTATATTAATGATGACTTTTTTTTAAAAAAAATTATATTTTTATTTTTGATTTTATTTCAATAAATGATATAATAGAACATAAATTTTAGTTATAAAATTCATATTCTACTATGAATGACTTAAACCCTTTATTTGAATTTTTTAGTTTTATTTCAATAAATAGTATCATTGTATACTAATTATAAATTTAAAGAAAATTTTGACTTTTTATTTTAAATTTTGTTTTAATAAATGATACAATATAACATAAATTTGGTTGTAAAATTTAAAATATTTGATATTTTATCTTTGATTGAAGTTTTTTTTATCTAAATATAACATTTTAAACTTGAGAAGTTTAAGTATTATATACCTACAAACTTCAAATGGTCTAGATGTAATTTACTAACGGATATACTAACATACATTTGATGGCAGGGATTGCGTATATAAACTTTAGGGGTCTGTATGTAATATTTTAAATATCAGGAGTCTAAGTGATCAAGTGACAAATTTAAGGAAATCTGAGTGTAATTCTCCCATATTTTTTTGATAAGTAGGATGATGTATTTAATCTAATGAAATTATTTTTTACACAACAAAAAATCATTCAACATAATAAAAGTAAAAAATGCATACAAACAAAACAAAATAAAAAAATAATTTTAATATTTTACCAAAAAATAAAATTAATTATAATCATTTTCAAACGTTGTATTATAACTTTATTATAAATATAACTAAGTATATATTAGTATAAATATTAGTTATCATATTATCACTTATTTTGCTACATAATCAAGTTTTTATAATTTTTATAGTTAAAAATATTTTCTCTATAATAAAAATTACAATCGGTAAAGCTAAAGTCAAAGTCCCACCAATTTTTAACTCTTCTGATATCGTCTGTCCTCCATAACATTATTCGAC